CACACACACACACACACACACACACACAACAACACACACACACACACACACACACACACACACACACACACACACACCACACACACAACACACACACACACACCACGCACACACACACATTTACACGCTATATTAAAATTAAATGACACTAATGATAATAATCCAGTTCCTGTTTTGTGTCCACCGTCCGTAGTTCCCGACAGATTATATTTATATAAAAGATTGTAATTATATAAGAGATTATAATCTATAATTATATAAAAGATTAAAATATATAAAAGATTATGATTATATAAAAGATTATGATTATATAAAAGATTATGATTATATAAATTATGATTATATAAATAATTATATAAAAAAAATAAATATATAAAATTATAATTATATAAAAATTTGTAATATATAAAAAATTATTATATATAACAATTTATAATTATTTAAAAGATTCCTTGGTTTTCATGCACTGATATGATATATATGTAGGCCTACATACAAGAATACACTCACGAGGGCATGGGTATATATATATATATATATATATATATATATATATATATATATATATATATATATATATATATATATATATATATATATATATATATATATTATAAGGGAGCCCAAAGGTTGCTCGAAGGTCGTGCTGTTTTTGTTGTTGTTGTTGTTGTTTCAGCAAAAAATCGGCAAATCATAGACTTTAAATACTTGTAGAAATTAATAAGGAAAAATAGTCTCATCAGATTTCATTTTTTTTATTGTAGCCTAATAATAATAATGATAATAATAATAGTAATGATGGTAACAAATCAACAATAATAATAATAATAAAGTATAATAATAATAATAGTGATAGTAATAATAATAATAATAATAATAATAATAATAATAATAACAATAACAATGAGAAATAATGATAACAAAACAACAACAACAATAATAATCTTACCATAATGAGGATACAATTATAGAAAAAAAAAAAAAAAAAAAAAAATAAATATAAAGAAAAAAACATTAATATAAACACAAAACAAAACAAAACAAAACAAAAAAGCTTTCCTTAATATAAACACAAAACCCCCCCAAACTCTTCACGTCCCTTCCTTCCTCTTCCCCCAACCCAGGGAGACGAACCAGGAGAAGAAGGCAGCGCGCAAGCAACGCCGAAAGCAGAACCGGAAAGCGCGCAGACAGAAGACCCGAAGGCAGAGACCGGAAGGGACCGAAAGTGCCTGAGAAGAGAGACCGAAAGAGATAAAAAGACACCCCCCCAAAAAAAAAAAAAAAAAAAAAACGAAAGTGCCTGAGAAGTAAGAAAGAAAGAGGTTAAAGAAAAGACCGAAAAAGTTAAAAAGACAAAAAAAAAAAAAAAAAAAATCCTACTTAAAACGATTTCTTAATTTCTCTAAAGTGAAGTCGTTAAAAAGTACGATTAACTTAATCATTATAAAAGTTGGTCATATTACTGTACGATAATTAATCATCAATCATATTCAAATTTATGTAAGTAAAAATATAGTACAAGTGATTTAAACTAATTGTGTAAATAATTACCCTTATGAATTACACGTAGGATCATTAGGACCTTCTTTATCCACAACACCTACTGTACAAATGGCTAATTTGTACTTTGCCTAATAAGTAGGCAGGATAAACATTTTTTTTTTTTTTTTTTTCGTTCTCCCTCTTCTTGCTTTTTTCTTCTCTCTTTTCTTTTTCGGCGCCAGGATAAAGAGCTGTTTTTTTCTTTTCGTTTTTTCTTCTCCCTCTCTTTCTTCTCTCTTTCTTTCTTTCTTTTTTGTAGACAGAATAAAAAAAAAATCCTTTTCTTTTTACTTCTCCCTTTCTTTTCTTTTTCGTTTTATTCTATTCATTTTTTTCACAATGGAGAACCTAGTCCTCAGTACGGTCAGTATTTATATATGATAGGAAACTAAAGTGCAGACTAGGACAATTATCAGATTATGTATTGTATAATCTGAAATCAGCAAGCCTATTTTTTATGACTATGGCAATATGTGGAGGCAGTAACACAAATTAAAAAAAAAAACAATAATCGAAAACAATACTAAAAGACACAAAGATAGAAATAGACTCGGAAAGAAATACCATTTGCCTGTTTTTTTTCGTATTCATAAAGACTGCATAATAGAGATGAACAGTTGATAAATCACTAAAAGGTTTATGTGAACGTCAACTCAACCAGGTCTGTTGTTTCTTTTTTGTAAGTCATTACTTGACCCAATCAAAATTTTCACCTTTAAACAAATTGCATTGCTGTATCGACGGGATATTTACTAACAATGGGTAGCGTTATCTGGCAACAATTTTTTATTTTCCCTCATTGAATTGACAAGTTAAGGAAACCAACCATTTATAGATAATCATTGTAATTTGTTCTCTTAATTCTAACACTAGATCATGCTATATTGTTATGCCTTCAAAATAAGAATATGCAAATAAACATTTTGGTGGGGTTTGCCAATTCTACGTGGTCTAG